TCTCTTCTCTCCCACCACATGCACTCACAGCATCCAGCCCTTGAGGTGCTGAGAGCATTCTGCCAGCAGAAAGCTCCACCACAGAAAGGAGCTCTTTGCTGTTGGGCATGGCCAGCCACTGACACTGGTGGAGAATCTCCTCCAGCTTCATGTGGAGGGACCACTGTGGTGTCTGCACTGCTGCAGAGCACAAAGGAAGCAGAAGAGAGGTGCTGGCATCGATCAAAACTGCTGCAGGTTCCACAGAGCTCCAGAGAAGTCCCTGGGAGATGACAGCCAAGGTCACAGCTTCTCTGTCTCTTTACACCTTTTGAAGTCCCAGTGTGAGCACTCAGACTGAGGAGCTTTGGCAGCAATGGTCCTGTGGAACACTTGGATTAGCTGGATCCCACCAGGTGACCTGGAGTGGTGCAGGGGGGACTCCAGCACTGCCTCTGCTCCAGCAAGCAGTCCTTCCTGTCAAACCTGCCACCCACAGCCACACCAGTGTCACAGCTACAGAAAAGACATTCAACAAAGCCCTTCCAAGAGCTGCTTGAACCTCCAAAGACATCTCCTTCACCCTGGCATGCTCCAGCACTGCCACAGTCCCCAGCCAGGCTGCAGTGACCAGTGATGGTGCAAATTCTTCAACCAGCACTGTTAAACCACAGGGGGAAACAAAGAAACTCCTGGCAGGATCTCAGTCCACAGTTCTCACTGCGTACAAGAAGGAAAAGAGGGGCCTGATACCTTTCCTCATACTGGGATTGGTTCTCCCCACTGCTGGGAGCAGGAGTCGTGCTGGAGCTGGGCTGGGAGGACAGATCACAACCTCAGAGCTGAGAGCTACCTTGAGGACATTTCCTCTGGACAAATTCTCCCTGGACAGCAAAAGGCAAAACTCCTGGAGCCCTTTACATTTCAGGCCCTTGCTTCAAAGCAAGAAGAAAACAGCAATTCCCACTGACATGGAAATAAAGAGTTTTTTAACTCATTTCACATGGGCAAAGTAATATATTTTCACCTCATCTCCTGCTTGGAAATGGTCAGTTTTAGCTGAAATCAAAGATGCACACAAAGAAATATCACAAATCAGTCCACAGCAGACACCCAGCATGGAAACTGAAACCCCAGCATTTAAGAGTCTGGCAAGGTCATCAGCAACCGAGAACACGGCCTTGGACAGGGCTGTAGCTGTAAATTTTAAAAAGTTCATAACTCACTGCACTAGGGCAGATGAAAAGACAAACCTATTAAAAAAATACACATGCTGAAGAGGGCAAAATGTCTTTACCTGTTTTGCTTAATCTTTGCTGCTCAGCTTATAAAGGAAAACTTTCAGTCAAGTTTAGAGAAGTCAATATCCACCTTGTTAATGACCTTGTTATCTGCCTGTACAGCACTGCCTTTGTGGACACGTATGCAAAGAGAACCGTGTTTACAATTATTGTTTTTTTAACACTACAGGAGAGTTGGGATGTGCCTGCAGCTCCTCTAAGGTCAGCACCCGCTGTATTGATTGAGAATCATCTACATGAACGGAGAAAAGCAGGCAATGGAGCACTCAGGATTGGAGATGCTACACTTGGTTCAGCCCAGGCAAGTGCAAATCCTATTTATGGCACAGGAGAACACCACTCTGCAGTGCCTGGGGCACCCCTGGCCTCTGTTTGGTGCTGAGAATGGGTATTTCATCACCCAGATGGTACATGAGATGCTCCTGGTGGGAGCGTCTCAGTGCACAGAGCATGGTCACAGTTTAAAGTCGGTGGTGTTTTTGCTCTCTGATGAGTGTTGGTTGACAGGCTGATGTCCCTGTGGTGATGGCAGCTCCTTACCACCCCAAATCCCTTTCTCTTTCATGGAAACCCTCCCTGCTCTCAGGGGAAGGTGAGGGAAAGACAATGCCCCTGCCCTCGGTGAGCATCCCATGTCCTCGAGCTCATGGTGCCACAAAAGGATGGGGGCACCTTTTCAGAGAGGCAGCACTGACCCCACACCAAACCATCCTGTCCAGGACAGGGACATGGCCCCCGTGAGCTCCACTTCCTCCAGAGAGGCGCCCAGACTGCCTGGAAAAACCTCCAGTGTGGAGAACCAAGGTTTGTGCCGAGGTGGCAGCGAATTCCTCAGCAGTGGTGGCGTTCAGCCTCCAGGAACTGAAGGATTTGTCCCTGCTTGTGGTGCCAAGGATAGCAAGAGAGGGAGAGGGAGAGGGAGAGGGAGAGGGAGAGGGAGAGGGAGAGGGAGAGGGAGAGGGAGAGGGAGAGGGAGAGGGAGAGGGAGAGGGAGAGAGGCTGGTGGAGAGAAGGGGGAGAAACAAGCTGGGGTGAAGGGATGGAGTGAGCAGGACAGCCCATCAGAAATAAGCAAGAAGGGGAAAGTGATGGAGCTGATGCAACACGAGGGATTAATGCTGAGAGAATGGGAATGACTAGGAAAGAGAAGTAGGGGCAGGGAATGCAGGAAACACTCCCTTGTGTCCTGCTGGAGCAAGGATGGGGATGGTCTGGGATGGGTTGTGGGAGGAAGGGATGAGAGAACCTGCTGTCAAGAGAAGCCTATAGCTGAAACAACCAGACCCAGCTAAGGAGGGGGTGGTAAGACAAGATAGAATGATCCCACCTGCTGCCCAGCCCAGCACCTTGCACCGTGCATGGCACAAAGTGACCTGTCCTGGCATGTGCTGCTCACTGCCAGCTCTGGCAGCATCCCCCTCCACCCTGCAGCTGCCCAGAGGCCTCACCCTGTCACCTCTTACCCCAGCTCCTGAGCTGAGGGGGAGCAGACACAGCATCCTCAGGCAGGGACAGGCTCCCAGGGCATGCCCCTCCACCCCTGGGCCAGCAGGTGGACAAGGAGGAGCGATACAGGGAGCACAACCCCAGGGAATAGTGCTGGGGTGTCTCTGCTTTGGTTGGGGTGTTGTTTGTTCGCTGCTTTTCCCAGCACTCAGCAGAAAGCACAATGCGGGCTGAGCTCCAGCTGCAGCTGATGGGGCCAGCCCTGGATGGAGCCAGGGGAGCAGGGAGGGAGGGGAGCAGGGAGGAAGGGAGGCTGCTGGGGGAACAGACTACAGCTCCTCAGGACAAGGAGGCGCCCCAAGTGAGCCCAGCAGTGTTGGTAGGACTGAGGGGACAGCTGAGGAGGAAGAGGAGGAGGAAGAAGCGGGGGTGGTGAGGAGGGTCCATGGAAATCATTCAGATCCTTCTGGGCTCTTCACTGTTATCCCCTCCTTGCTGGCTAACCTACCTCTTGTATCCCTAAAAGAATGTTTTCCTGCAGATTGCTGCTGGGAAGCACATCTTTCTTGCCTGAAGGAAACCTTCAGGCAGCTTTCCCGCTGCTCTGCCTGTAGTGCCTCATCCCAGCTCTGCCCTGGGCACGCTGACAACAGCAGGCCAACCTCTACACAAGAACTGCCCCGCAGGAAAAGCAGGGGTGGCTGGGAAAGAGTGCAGGAAGGACACGGAGTGGGAGAAAGGGAGTTTGAGGAGACCCAGAAAGAGAGGCGAACTGAAGTGTGGAAGTCAGGCATGGCTTCATGCAAGGACCAAGAGGGTGGTAGATGGGAAAGCAGGAACCAGATCAAGAGGTAGGCAAGGAGTGACAGTCCCCAGAGACAGTACCCACACACTTGGGTGGTGGGAAAAGCATGAGGACTCTTCCCCCATGGATGTGGGAAGGGGATGAAGCACCATTCCTGGTGATCACACCTGCACGTGCCAGGTTTGTTTCCTGACCGGCAGCCCACCCACTCGCTGGCTCACTTCAGACATCCCAGTCAAGTACAGGCTCAGTGCCAATAGGTGACTGTCATTTCTGGGCTTGAGATTGGGGTCAGAGGGCTGTGGAGTGGCAGTGAACAGAGAAAGTGGGAACTCAATCTCCACAGGATTAACACTGAAGCTCTTGCAGGAGCCCAGCCCCAGGGACCGGTGACCTCCAGCCTGGCTGGTCTCTCCTGTAGTACCAGGGGCCTCCTGTGGCTGTGGGACTGTCCCAAGGGGATGGTTCTTCCCTTCCTCTGCACCTTTGCAAAGCCACCCTGGAGCCCTGCAGGCCTTTGGCCACCCTCAAACAGGGATGTCCTGGACCTTGGAGCATTGAGCTGGTGCTTGGCTCCTGAGACCTCTCCACAGGACACATCCTGCACACCAGCATGGACACTGGGAATGACTGTGGCCTTGGCTGCTTGTGGAATTGCCTTGAACCTACTGAAGGCAGGGAGATGCAGGTCTGAGAGGGCTGTGGGCAGCAGGACTTGCCAGCTCCACCACTGCCACCATCCCACACATGAAAACACCCGCCTCGCTCCAGGGAACCTGCAGAGGGGATCTCAGATGATGGGAATCCAGAGCTTCCCTCTGGCTGCCCTGGCAGGTCTGGAACCCTGGCAGGGGTCAGGAACCCCCCTGGACAGAGCCCCCAGAGACACTGTCTGTGATCTCTGTCCATGGAAAAGAGTTTTCAGTCTTACAGGATGAATTACCAGCTCTGAATGTTTGATATAAGTAATAATTAAGTGTGGCACGGGTGCAAAAGTAAAATTTTAGGATTCTAGATTAGGGGTCCAAAAGGGACAAGATGGAGGAAATTGGGTGTGTCTTGTCCTTTTTCTCCTTCTTCATGCCCTCCATGTTTCACTGTGGTGTTGGCATTTTTCTGTTGGTTCAGGCTGGGGACACACTGTCCAACGTAGGTGACAGATATTGGCACGTTATTGTAAATCCAGCACAGGTAGTTTGTGGTATTTAATGTTTGTAACATCCCACTGAGGGCAGAGCCCCACACGCTGCCCTGCAGGACAGAGCTGCGGCAGGGCAGCAGAACATGTTAGAGATAAACAGAATAAACAACCTTGAAACAGCACAAACGAATTATGGCTTCTGCTTTGGCAGCGGGGCTGACAGACAGAGACTTTCTACAATCTCGGGATCATCAATAGCACAGATTCCGACAAGAGGGGACTGAGTGAGGTCACAGAGGTGGGGCTGGCCCGTCCCAGGCTCACTCACCTCCCTGGTGTCGTTGTCCTGGATCAGGGCGTACAGAGGCACCACCCTGTTGATCTCCAGCAGCACCGGGGTGGGGCTGAGCTGCTCCTTGCCGGGCCGGCGGCACAGGTGGCAGGTGGCCGGGCAGCGCCCCTTCTCCTCGCAGTGAATCTCCACGCCCGAGATGAGGTGGTCATCCGACAGCATCTGCGCTGTCAGCAGGCCCGACAGGTACGTGATGAAGGGCATGGATTTCAGCTCCTTCTTGTTGCCAAGCTCAGTTGTTTCTGGGTTAGGGAGAGGGAAGAAACCAAACAGTGTTAAATAAATCTCAGCACAGGCCTCTTCCCAAAGCCAAACTCTGCTGCAGCCAGGATAAATGCAGCTGCTGAAGGTGTAGGCCAGGTGGGAGAAGGAAAAAAAGACAGGTCAAAGAGAGAAGGAGAAAAACAGGACTTGCAGGTCACTCCTTGGAAGTGTGAGCTTTTCCAAACAAGCACATCTAAACTGACAGAACTGATTGGTCTTCTCTTTTCTAACTCTTGTTCTTCTTTTTTCTAACTTGCATATCCACTTTTTGTGCTCCAAAATGAGACAAAATCACCTCGGTGTATCTTCTCTGCCAAAGAGAAACATCCCCAAAGAGACCAGGCCAGGGAGCTGAATGCCCTTTATCCCCACCCTAACACCAGCCCCCTCTAGTCCTTGTGGTCCTCAGGTCACTCTTGTGGGTGATACATCATCCAGGGCAGTGAAATGGTTCCAAAGAGGCTGCAAAAGGACTACATTGAAGGATGGAGCCTCTTGGCAGTGGGGAAAAGCAGGTATGAGAACAAGCTCGCTGCATGGAGAATAGATGGAAGCATTACCAAAACCAGACCGCCAGCATTGCCTTCAGGAAACATTCAGGCCTATGAAACCCACTGGGAAACCTCCTGGTGGTCTTAAGCATGAGGCAATGAACTTGGAGAACCTTGACTTTGTTCTGTGCTCATCCAAACCCTTGCTGTGGCCAAGGGAAGTATCACACTTGAGCAAAGGAGACACGACTCCAGTGTCTGCCCTGCACGCTTCCATTTCAATTCTTTGTCTATCGCTGGGTTGACCCAGGAAGGCCCAACTTTTATAATCTTGGTGACAGACCTACAGACTAAAAGGCTTTCTTCATCTTAAGGATGTTGCCTCCAGCAACAAATTCCCAGTCCTGAGAGGAGTGAAGAGGAGCAAGGGCTGTCTCAACACGCTCAGCCTGCAGTGACATGCAGCTGATCTGGCAAGGCACAAGCCATTTGGAAATACAAACAAACAGCATTCATTCATGACTCCCAGAGCCCTCGAGGGTAGGGACAGCCCTTCCCTGCTGTCTGGCTGTCTGGGAACACTTCTGTGCACAGGATCAAAACTGTCACGGGGAGAACAAGCAAATTCCATCCAACCCATGTTTTAGTGGAGTAGAAGGGGAGCAGTTGCTAAGATAAATTAAAACAATGTTGTAGGGAGATGTTTCAACATCTAGGGAGACACAGACATGGGAAACAGGAGTTGGGGCTGCTTCTTGGAGAGTTTATTTTCTAGATTATCAGCTCCAGGCAACTTCAAATCTCATAATGAAAGCCATGAAGCCTTGAAAAACAGGGTGGTAGAGAAAGAAGAAATTTATAGGGGGATACCATGAGCCTCTTCTTACTTGTCAGTAAGAGGAGCATCTTCTAACATCACTACTAAAGTACACGTAGAAGAGAAAGGAGATAATTACACTTCTGGGCTGCAAAGCTTCTTCAGCAGAGCTGAAGCAGCTTTAGAGATCCTTCATGGAGAAGGAAGTTTTGGAGCATACTTTAAGGGAGGATATGAACACAGGGCTGAAAAGACATTGGAATCAGTTATGACGGGCAAGAGGATATCAAACCTTCCTTCTGAATTATTTGTCTTATAGCTAAGAATTATAGATCGCTATAATCCAACCAGTGGGAACAAAGCCCTTTTAGGAGTAGCAGCACTCAGGTGGAGCTGCACAGGGAAAGCCCAGAGCTCTGAAAATGAGGTAAGGTAGAAAACTGTGAGCAGAACAGCTGCCCTTCCCCAGCAGCCACGGGCTCAGTGACAGATTAACCACGAAGCTGGGTGATTCATGGCAGACCTGTGAGCAGAGCAGGCTCATGGCTGAGGTGGAATTGGCTGTCTGCAGTTAATCCTCTTTAGAACAGATCCCAGCTGCACTGGGGAGAAGGATTCCTTTGCAGACTGACAAAGATCCATGGTGTTTCCTTGTACGAGGGCTCTGGGTACAGCTCCAAAAGAAGAAAATGAAATAGGATGTGGGTTAGCAGAGGGAAACTGGCTTCATTGTCAAATTGCCAGCTCTCATCCAGACAAACACTTAGATGGCATCAGCACTGGATGGCAATTCCTGGTACCTTTTGTGGGATGTGTTTGGGGTGCTTACATAGAGTTCTAACAAAATAATCCCCCTATTTCTGCTATTGGAACCTGTCTGGGAGCACCAGCAGCACGCCCTGCTTGTGAGCCAGCCCCTCCAGAGCCAGAGAGAGGCAGTGAGGAGGAGATGCTCCTCATCTGCTTGCTCAGGCCCCGCATCCCTAGAAAGCTGGAGGTTTCCTTGCTGGACACAGTACTTCCCTCTCATCCCACCCACATCCCCTGTTCACTACTCAGGGCATCTCACAGAGGAGGTTTTTAAATCTGAGTGGTATTTTCACTCTAAAACATATACCTGCACCTGCCATTGCAACTATAGGCTGGGAGGATGGGATTGGGGTCCCTCAATTTCCCCCTGCCCTACATCTGACATGAGTTTTGGTTATCTCTTCAGCTCCCTGCATGCAAGGAGAGGGCTCAGCAGTGAATTGGAGAAGCCCCATAAGTTCTTATAGGCTCAACCTGGCTTTTATTACCTATATAGAACAGGATAACCTCCCAGGACACTCCTGCAAAGCCTCTGCTTCACTCCTGGGGAAGGGCTTTGCAGGTGACTGCTGCCAGGACACTCCCAAGGTCCTTTCTGGGAAGAGGAGGAGACTCAGCTACAGCAGTGAGGATACAGAGATCCCTTATCAGCCCCTGAATGTGATCCCTTATCAGCCCCTGAATCTGAACATGCTGTCACCAACCCTGCTGGCAACTCAGCTGAACCCTGGCAACATCTGTTTGGGAGCAGAGAGCCTCAGATGCAATTGGACATATCACAGCAACTTGTAGGAGTTATTGGTTTGATTGTCTGAAATATGGATTAAAAAACAAACAAACAAACCAAAAACACACAGAGAAAAAAAAACCTACTACCACCACAAAACAAATAAAATAACAGCCTCGTGCCAGGCACCAGGCCTTGTGTAAGAAAGGGAGAATGAGCAGAACAGAGTGTGCAGAGGTACTGTTTGCCTGCTGGGGTGCCTGGCTCTGTTTCTGGGCTCCACCAGGATTTTACAATCCCACAGCACGAGGTGTGTGCCTGCACAAAGGGGTCCCTGCTCGGGATGCAGCAGTTGCTGATGTGGGAAAATGCTTCCAGCATTACCAGCAGCACCTCCTGGTGCCTGGACATGAGGGAGCAGGGTAACACCACTACTACAACAAAAACAACAGCATAATGCCTAATTTGTATTGGAGCACTGTCCTGTCTTGAGAGCTCCCAGGAGAAGATGGTTTTTCTAGTGGCTCAGCATTTCATACAACACCTCTTCCGAAAGATCCCCAAGTCATCCCAAAACTGGGAATCATTCCACTTGCCACAGGAATGCAGCCATATCAGGGGTAGGATGTGATATCTCCTGAAGAGCAGAAATGCTTGGAACAAGGACAGGAGAAGGTTCTCCAGCTGGAGCTGTAGAGGGAACAGTGGGAACAGACCCAGGTAGGGATTCCTAAAGGCTCAGCAGGTTAACCCCACCAACACCAACAGGCTGCTCAGCTTGGCTTGACTTAAGACCTGGGATTTGCATCTTGTGCAAGGAAGAGGGAATTCTGGTCCACCTTCCCCATACAGAACCCTTCACTGGACAGACCTAGTGCCACCACAGGCAGGACAGTGGGGACTTGTGGCCAGGACATATCCACTGACACAGGCTGCCTGTTTGTCACCTGGTGGAATCCCTTTTTGCTGGCAAATCCATCCAAAGGGAGTTAGAAATAAAATCAATATATGTGTTTGCCTGTGAATTTCTCCTGCACTGAGATATTGTCAGTGCAGTGGCCACCAGGACTGTGAAGAGCTTGGACAGATTTAGTGATGCCCACTGTTAGTGGGGGGCAAACACTGCTGGGGCTGCGAGGAAGGTGTGGGCACAGCATCCAGGGGAGTGAGTCGGGCACATCCATCCATGTGTGCAGGAAGGATGGGGCAGAACAAAAGGGAATGGCTGGCAGAGAGCAGGGTTAGATGGGCTATCAGGAAGAAATTCTTTCCTGTGAGGGTGGGGAGGCCCTGGCACTGAAGAAGCTGTGGCTGCCCCTGGATCCCTGGCAGTGCCCAAGGCCAGGCTGGACAGGGCTGGGAGCAATCTGGGATAGTGGGAGGTGTCCCTGCCATGGCAGAGGGTGGAAGGAGATGGGTTTGAGGTGCCTCCGCGGGATGCGAGCGCGGAGCTCGGGACGCGGGTTCGCCCCCCGGACCCTCCCGGCGGGTCCCGGTCCGCGGGGCAGCGCGGCCGTGCCGGTCCGTGGGGCCCTGCTGCCCTCTCGTGGCACCGCGGCGGGACCGCGTGGGCACCATCCCGGCGTGGGGAACGCATCCCGGCGTGGGGAACACATCCCGGCGTGGGGAACACATCCCGATGTGGGGAACATATCCCAGCTGGGAACAGCATCCCGGTGTGGGGAACAGCATCCTGGTGTGGGGAACACATCCCGGCGTGGGGAACAGCATCCCAGTGTGGGAACACCATCCCGGGATGGGGAACACATCCTGGGATGGGGAACAGCATCCCGGAGTGGGGAACACATCCCAGGCTAGGAACACCATTCCGGCTTGGGGACATCATCCTGGCGTGGGGAACACATCCCGGTGTGGGGAACACATCCTGGCCTGGGAACACATCCCAGCAAGAGGCACACCATCCCAGGTTGCAGCACACCATCCCAGGATGGGCACACCATCCCAGCTAGAGGCACACCATCCCAGCCTGGACACACCATCCTGGCATGCACACCACCCTGGTCTGGGCACAGCATCCCAGGGTGCAGCATACCATCCCAGGATTGGCACACCATCCTGGCGTGGGCACACCATCCCAGGACTGGCACACCATCCCAGGACTGGCACACCATCCCAGGACTGGCACACCATCCCGGTGTGTGGCACACCATCCCACACATCCCACTGCCCTCACCCCGCAGCCCCTCCACGCCATCCGTGGGGTCTCATCCTTCCGTCCTCATCCCAGCCTCGGTGAGGGGAGTGTGGCACAGCCAATGTGTAACATCCCCTGGGTGTCGGTGCTTGATGAACTCCTGAGAGTGAGGCGCTGTGACCTCTTTTAATCTCCTATTTATAGAAGGTGAAGGGGCTGCATTGGACCTTAAAGATCATCCCGTTCCAATCCTGTGCCAGGGGAAGGGATGTCTCCCATTAAACCAGGTTGTCCCAAGCCCCATCCAACCTTGCTTTGAGCACGTCCAGGGATGGAGCAGCCACAAGCTCCCTGAGAAACCTCTGCCAGTGCCTCACCATCCTCACAGCAATAAACTTCTTCTCAATATCTAATCTACATTTCCCTGTTTCAGTGTGTACCCATAACTCCTCGTCCTGTCACCACAGTTCCTGATGAAGAATACTTTTATGCCCACACTGCCTCTGCCCCTTCACACCCCCTCTCCCTGATGACGCTGCGCCCACTGCTCCCAGCTGATTAACCAAACTCAATTAAACACAATCCTGACATCCAACACCAAGGTGTGAACAGAGAGCTGCACCCCCGTGCTTGTGACTGGTGGCGTGTGTGACCCCCAGGCTGCCACAGCCTCACTGCCCCAGGGATGATCCCAAAGATATCCCCTTGAGAAGGCTGCCCTAGAACAGGGAGTTAAAGAATAAAGCAGGGATTTATTAAAGGATCTCCTCCATGGATCCACCTTGGGCAGCACCAGAGCCCAGCCAGGGCTGCACCCAAATGAACCAAAATGGTCCCAAAATGCACGAGCGCCCCGGGGGCTCTCCCTGGGATCAGTTCTGCTCCATTGGCACCTTGGAGTTCATTGTCCCATTCCAGCTTTAGCCCAGGCAGTCCCATCCTGCTTGTTTTTCTCTCTCCAGCCCACGTTGTTTGTGCTCCTGGGCTGAGATTTGGATCATTTGTCCTCGGTGCCCAGCTGGAGCAGGAATTGTTTTGTCTCCCTGCTCTGTGCAGAGCTCAGCATCCCCTCAGATGAAGCTCAGAACTGCACTAAAGCAGAATCTGAAAAATAGAACAGCTAAAACCTGATGCATGACCAGCAAAGAGAATCTGGGGGCAGATCATCTCTTGTGCCTGCAGGATCACGCCTCAGCTTCAGATGAGACATTTGCACACTTGCAAGCCTGAGGTATTAAGAAAAAAGAGCTCTTAGAGACCTCTGATAACCCTCTATAGAAGGGGATTTTGACAGTATCCCCTATAACATAGCTTTGGCAAAGGAACTTTGGCAGGGTGACCAGGGTCTGGGCTGGACAACCTTCCCATCCTTCCTTGTCATGTAGGGTCCCCATACTCACACATGATGGATAACATCGTCAGCTGGTCATTGTCACCTCTAATTAAATCCAGAGAGTCCTTTGTTTACTCCTCAGGATGCATTAAAAGATTATTTCCTATTTCTACCATTGTTTTTTCCTCACACTGTTCATTTTCAGGTGTGGGTGGCCTCACAAGTTCTGCCAGACCGCCCTGGTTTCAGTGTTTACATCCATTCTACATCAGGGACTGAAAAAAGCATTTCCCTGGTGAGGGCAGGAACTGGGAGTGAACCCTGTGTCCCCTCCCTGGGCACAGCAACACCCCCAGGGAGCCACTGGGGTTTGAAACAGGGCACTCAGGTGTCGGAACTCAAAATGTCCCTCAGACATTTTCAGAGGTTCCAGGCCTCAGTCAGAAACATTTTAGACCCTGGCAAGCAGCTGAGAACAGCTGTGATTTTGGGTTTGAGCCATGGAATGAGTTACCAACTTTGAAGGTGGAACAAGGAGTCACAGAGGGTTAGATGGAATAGTAAAAGTAGTCACAAATTAGAGGGGAAAATTTTTTAGTATTATACAGGAAAGTTTTAATACCTGTACAGGAAGGTTTTTACTTTGTACAGGAGGGTCAAGAGTTCTAAGATAGAGGAAAGTGGGCCTGATCCTATTCTTCCTCCTTCTTCTTCCTTACCTCCATGTTCTTAGTGATGTTAGCACTCACAAATTAGTTTAGAGTAGAAAAGTACATTGTAACATAAGTAATAAGTATTGGGAAAAATCTATAAACATATAAGACATAATATATCATATAAAAGATAGCAGCAGCCCTGGGCGGAGGGAGAGACAACAAAAACACCAAACAATGAAGGTGTCAGAAGTGTGTGTATTTCTGCCTGAGCAGCGGGCAAAAACAATCTTTTAAATAACTAGCAATAAACTGCCTTGAGACCAAACAACAAGAAGCTGCAGAGTTTTTCTTTAGAAGCACGAGTTAGAAAAAAAACTTTACCACCACTGAACCCCGAATCAATCCCGGGGTTCTCACACTCAGGAAATCTCACTCGTTTTCTTCACTTTGCATCTGCTCCCGCTGCCTCTGAGTGCATCCACTGCCCACACTGCTGCTCCAGGGATGTGGATCCCTTCCGAATGATCTGTTCTTTTCTAAACAAAGTGGAAAAGGCACCAAGAGCAGAAGGTGGCCAGACTTGCTGCATTTTGCAGGCGCAGGTCAGGGCGGCTGCAGCAGGTGAGCAGTGGAAAAGCGCCGCAGGCAGAGAGGCCACACGGAGGGAATTTGGGAAATGGTTAAACTGAGCACTGCCTCTTCCCCAGGCAGAGAATTCCTGCCAGCCTGACCTCCAGCCCTGGCTGGCCATGGGATGCTGCTGTGGCACCAGGGGTGTGAAGGACACTGTGCCCCCCACCAAAGGGAGCCCCAAGCCCGGCACTCCTCAGTTCGCCCTGCAGCCCCATGGGGCACAGCAGAAGGGGCTCTCTGCCACCCCTAAAGCAGATCCATGATGTGAACTTGTTCATAATACATGACATCCAAGCAAAAATGGGGTTAGAACGGGCTTGGTGCTCCTGATGGTGATACTGGCTCCAGGAAACACGGGGCAGAGCCCAGCCACAGGCCAGTGGCCAAATCCCTTCCTCTGGCTACCACTGCCAGCCTCTCGTGCTCCAGCTGTACCCAAAAATAGTCATTTTTGTCCCAGAGTCCACAGCCTGCTCCAAGGCACGGCATGAAAGGAGAAGCACACATTTTCAGGAGGTGATGCAAAACCCGTCAAACACTCAGGGAACTGCTGGGGGAAGGGAAATGGAGAGAAAAAGGGAAAAGGAGAGGGGGAAAGGGGAAGGGAAAGGAAGAGAAGGGATTGCAAGGCAAGCAAGGCTAGGCAAGGGAAATGAAAAAGGAAGGGAAAGGAGAAGAGTAGCGAAAGGAGAAGGGAAAGGGGAAAGGGAAGGTGAAAGAGAAGGGGAAGGGGCTGATCCCACAGCATCAGTGCGTGATCAGGGAAAGGGCAGTGAGCGACCCACGCGTGCCAAAATGACACATAAAAAAAAAAAAAAAAACCACGAAAAGACGTTCCTGCTTCCCCTTCGTTGCATTTAACGTTTCCTTTCACAACGGGCCCGGCACACCGAGGCCCCCGCCCGCCATGCCGGCGTCCCCCCGCGGGACTACATCTCCCGGCAGGCCCCGCGGGCGCGCCCACGTGAGGCGCGGCGCGCGGCGCACGCCGGGAGCGGCGCGGCCCGGAGCGGCGGCAGGTGAGGAGCGCGCGCGGGGCCGTGGTGGTGGCGGCGCCCCCTGCAGGGCGGGGCGGGCACGGCGGGACCCCGGCGGGCGGCCTGAGGGGACGGGCGGGCTAAAATGGGATGGGATAGGATGGGAATGGCATCATGGAAGGGATGGAAAGGGCCACGGCCGCGCCCGCCCCGCTGCCATGGACCCCAACGGCTATGGCGGAGCTGGGCGTGGGCTCTGTGCGGGCACACCGGGGCAGGCAGCGGCAGCCCGGCCGTGCCCGGGCCGGGCCGGAGCAGCCCGGCTGGAGGGACACGTTCCCCGCCCAGGCAGGGCTGCAGCCAGGGCACCGGTAAGGTCCTTCCAACCAGCCCCTGCATTTCTCACTGAAACCCCCCTCAGACCCTTGCATTTCTCACTGAAACCCCCTCAAATCCTTGCATTTCTCACTGAAACCCCCTCAAATCCTTGCATTTCTCACTGAAACCCCCCCAAACCTTGCGTTTCTCACTGAAACCCCCCCAAATCTTGCATTTCTCACTGAAACCCCCTCAGACCCGTGCAGTTCTCACTGAAACCCCCTCAGACCCTTGCATTTCTCACTGAACCCCCTCAAATCCTTGCATTTCTCACTGAAACCCCCCAAATCCTTGCATTTCTCACTGAAACCCCCTCAGACCCTTGCATTTCTCACTGAACCCCCTCAAATCCTTGCATTTCTCACTGAAACCCCCAAACCCTTGCATTTCTCACTGAAACCCCCTCAAACCCTTGTATTTCTCAGTGAAACCCCCTCAGACCCTTGCATTTCTCACTGAAACCCCCTCAAACCCTTGCATTTCTCAGTGAATCCCCCAAACCCGTGCAGTTCTCACTGAAACCCCCTCAAACGCTTGCATTTCTCAGTGAACCCCCCTCAAACCCTTGCATTTCTCACTGAAACCCCCTCAAATCCTGGGATTTCTCACTGAAACCCCCCCAAATCTTCCATTTCTCACTGAAACCCCCCCAAATCCTGGGATTTCTCACTGAAACCCCCTCAAATCCTTGCATTTCTCACTGAAACCCCTTCAAACCCTTGCATTTCTCACAGAACCCCCCCCAAATCCTTGGATTTCTCAGTGAAATTCCCCCAAACCCTTGCATTTCTCACTGAAACCCCCAAATCTTTGCATTTCTCAGTGAAACCCCCCCAAATCCTTGCATTTCTACACTGACCCCCCCCCCCCCCAACCCCAGGGTCTGGCCTGCCTTGTTTTGTTGTTGTGATAACTCCTTTTGCAGCATTACCCCATTATTTTCCCTCATTAATGACACCAGCTCTGAATGACAAGTGAAAAGCCGGTGTTCTCACCGCAGACACACCGGCTAGCAGAAACCACATGCAGGAAATTTCTTTCGAATGTAAGGAAGCCGAAACTCGCATAAAATTCACGGTTTTATGGGCTTGATCCTCAGCTGAGGCTTTCTGTAAACACCCTGCTCTGCGTCAGAGGAGCTGCCCCGGGAGGACCGGACATGCAAGAACAACTCGCCGTTAAGGAAACTTCCATGGAGGCACAGCCGAAGTGTGAAGAGGGAGATAAAAGGAAAAATAATGTCCCGTTACTGAGGGCACGCTGACATTCCGCTAAAGGGGGTTATACATGAAAGAAATGTCATACAAATCAGCTCTCTAAAAGCCCAACCTGACTTAAAATCCCATCTACATTCTTCTTCAATGAAATACTTGTTTTAAAATTAACTCTTAGTACTCTGCTGCTCCCTCGCCCTTCCCTAAGCAAGTCTTTTGACAGTGTTTCCAAAGGAAAGTAAGAATAATGAACCTGGTATCCTGTGTTCATTTTTTTAAAATCATTTTAAATCACAGATTTTTCCTCCCTCAGAGGAAGGTTTTCTGTTCTCCATGGCAGTGCCCAGGTTTCTGCTTCCCCGGGGCCAGGGCCGTGCTACTGAGCTTGCCACTGTCGAGCTAATCCCAGGTGGTGCCTGGAGATTCTGCACACCACTGAATCCCTTCCTGAAATATAGCCTTTAAAGGACTCTGAACTGCAGCTGACAAATTAAAATTAGGGGGCTTTACTTCTTTTCTGTATGAGCATAAAGATCTTTTCTTCCTTGCAGTTGTTTTCCGGCAGAGGAGCACACAGCAAACTGAAATACACAGAATCTTTCCCAAAGAGAAAGGCAGCAGAGCCAGCAGGGAAGTGAGAATGCTGTGTGCATGCAGCCATTTCTCAGAGAGAGCTGTGTGTTCACATCTCTCTGCCACTGTCTCTTCATTTCAAAGACTTAACTACTTCCTTCTCCTCCTCCTCTTCCCTAGAAGAAAGGTTTTCTTCCCTATTTTTTTAGTGGCTAAGCAGTACAATAACAAAGGATTTGAAACCCCAGTCTAGTGAATAATAACTTAATGATGTGAGCCCCTGTTCTGTTCCTTTTGAATGGATGGCTGCTTTGGCAGGAGAGCTGCTGGGATCTGCTCCCTGCTGGGAGGGATGTGCGGGTGGAGAAACCTGGATTGAAGCTGAGCAGCAACCAGAGTGGTGTAAAACTGAACCAAGGGGACAAGAACGAGGTCAGCGTTGCGAGATTGTGAAACGAGGAGAAATTAAAATGCAGTTAAGCTGAGTTCAGGAGCTAATAGTGAACACTGGGAGTATGTTTGGAGTTCAGATGTTTGGAGTTGTCTGTTAACTCCATTGTTGCTAATACCTGCCTGAGCTGTGTTTAATTGGCATGAGGCATGGTGCAGCATGGCAGAGGTTACTGAGATACCCTGCCATCAAACCTTCTCTGTGTGTTTTCAGTGTGCACAGTCAGCCCCAGAACTAGTGGAAGCTGACAGAGCATTCCTGCTACTTTCACTTCCTGGCAAATGTATGAATCTTGAAAATGTGTTTTGGCTCTCTAGCAAAGCAGAGTGAACCGAGCACATTTATTCTGTTGGTATCTGATGTCACATCTGAATTCGGGTCTCCAGAGGTGATCTATTAATGTCCTAAAGCATCGCACCATCTGGTTCCTTCTTTGATGTGCAACATTTTGAATGCCTGGTTTAATCTCCTGGGTTTCAGTAAATTATGTAAACTCGGAGGCTTGGCAGCAGGAGATGGGCGCCATGAGGAGATGATTCAGTCATCAATATCTACTGGGCTTCCATATTGGTGCCATTACACTTCTTTCAGTGCTGCTTTACAAATTTTGCAAGTGAATAATTCATCGCACTGGGAGCTGCAAGTTAGTTTTGAAATTTGCCCACCCTGAGATTAGCTATGATTAATCCATCCATCCCAACGTGGAAAAACTAACTGGGTTTCTTTTTCTGCAGGGTTAGGCGATAAGTCAGAAATAAATTGCATGTATACATAACTGCTGGTGGTGACATAAATCACATTTCCCTTTTTTCTTCCTGGACAGAATCGGAGCACCTTGGAATAGATGTGAGCACAAGGCACTGTGCTGGATAAAGCTGCCTCGGAGCACCATGGCTGCCGCCCCTTATCTCAACTCGGACGCGCTGCGAGAGGTCCTGGAGTGCCCCATCTGCATGGAGTCCTTCACCGAGGAGCACCTGAGGCCCAAACTGCTGCACTGTGGGCACACCATCTGCAAGCAGTGCCTGGAGAAGCTCCTGGCAAACAGCATCAACGGGATCCGGTGCCCCTTCTGCAGCAAGATCACGCGGATCACCAGCTTGGCTCAGCTCACCGACAACCTCACCGTGCTGAAGATCATCGACACGGCTGGCCTGGGGGAAGTGGTGGGACTTCTCATGTGCAAGGTCTGCGGGAGGAGGCTGCCAAGACACTTCTGCAAGAGCTGTAGCTTGGTTTTGTGTGAGCCGTGCAAGGAGGCTTCGCACATGCCCCCAGGACACAGAGTCATGGCTATCAAAGAGGCTGCTGAGGAGCGTAGGAGGGAATTTGGGACAAGGCTTGCCAGGCTTCGAGAGCTCATGGGTGATCTTCAGAAAAGGAAAGCTGCTCTGGAGGATGTTTCGAGAGACCTGCAATCCAGATACAAAGCGGTTCTGCAGGAGTACAGCAAAGAGGAGCGCAAGATCCAGGAAGAACTGGCCAGGTCACGCAAGTTCTTCACTACCTCTTTGACTGAAGTGGAGAAGATAAATAACCAGGTGATGGAGGAGCAGGCTTACCTGCTGAATTTAGCAGAAGTGCAGATAATGTCTCGCTGTGACTATTTCCTTGCCAAAATAAAGCAGGGGGATATAGCTCTCCTGGAGGAGGCAGCAGACGAGGAAGAACCAGAACTGACAAACAGTCTCCCAAGGGAGCTGACTCTCCAAGAGGTGGAACTCCTCAAGGTGAGCCATGTGGGACCACTGCAGATTGGGCAGGTGGTGAAGAAACCCCGGACCGTTAACGTGGAGGAATCTCTCATGGAAAATGCAGCATCCTCCTTTGCACCATTTAGGGAGCCTGACCTGGTGCAGGAGGAGCCCAGCTGCACCCCCCATTCCTCGCCAGCCAAGCCAAGGATGCCTGAAGCAGCCACAAGCATCCAGCAGTGTTCCTTCATCAAGAGGATGGGCTCCAAGGGCAGCCTGCCGGGGATGTTCAACCTCCCTGTCAGCCTGCACGTCACCAGCCAGGGCGAGGTGCTCGTGGCAGACCGGGGCAACTTCCGAATCCAGGTTTTTACCCGCAAGGGCTTCCTGAAGGAGATCCGCCGCAGCCCCAGCGGCATCGACAGCTTTGTGCTGAGTTTCCTTGGAGCAGATTTGCCCAACTTGACCCCTCTCTCTGTCACCATGAACTGCCACGGGCTGATCGGTGTGACAGACAGCTACGACAACTCTGTCAAGGTGTACACCATGGACGGGCACTGCGTGGCGTGTCACCGCAGCCAGCTGAGCAAGCCCTGGGGCATCGCCGCGCTGCCCTCGGGCCAGTTCGTCGTCACCGACGTGGAAGGGGGGAAGCTCTGGTGCTTCACCGTGGACCGTGGCATGGGGGTGGTGAAGTACAGCTGCCTGTGCAGCGCCGTGCGCCCCAAGTTTGTCACCTGCGACGCTGAAGGGACCATTTACTTCACTCAGGGGCTGGGGCTCAACCTGGAGAACCGGCAGTACGAGCACCACTTGGAAGGAGGCTTCTCCATCGGCTCCGTCGGCCCGGATGGGCAGCTGGGACGCCAGATCAGCCATTTCTTCTCTGAGAATGAGGATTTCAGGTGCATTGCTGGGATGTGTGTTGATTCCAGGGGAGACCTGATCGTTGCTGACAGCAGTCGTAAGGAAATCCTGCATTTTCCTAAAGGAGGCGGCTACAACATCTTAATTCGGGAGGGACTCACCTGCCCGGTGGGTATTGCTGTTACTCCCAAAGGGCAGCTGCTGGTGCTGGACTGTTGGGATCATTGCATTAAGATCTACAGTTACCACCTGAGAAGATACTCCACCCCTTAAAGGCTTGGTTGTAAGCAAAGCCTGCCTTGGCAGTGGAGATTCCTGCAGCCTCCTCGCAATCCGACTGGAACCAGTGTCAAGCCTTCAGGAAGATTGTGCCATAACTGAAGGGGATTTGGCATAGAGGTCATCATGTTCTGTGTTTAGAAACAAAATAGCTTTTGTGGTGGTGGTGTTGGTCTTCTTTTTTATATAAAATCCATACAAATAAGAACAAGCACGGTGGAAATGATCCATCCTTTGCAGTCTTGGTTCTTGTGACGAGTAACTCCATAAACCTCTTCACGTTCTTATGCCACACATCTCCTACACTTCCAGCTTCAACCATTGTGTCTTTCTTTGTGCCATAAACACTGACTGACTGCTCTAAATCACCTTCCCTTAGAGAACTAGCAGAGGCAATCCTGTGGTACTTGCAAGGAACTGGGTAGCAGTTGTCTGGGCAACTCCTAGAGAGAGCAATTTGTGCTTTCAGCACTGCATAAAACGAAATGGCCACTTCAGCCACGCAGAGATGAAGCTTTGCTTCCACCCTGACGAGGCAGGGTTGTCTCTCCCATTTTTCTGGTGTTCAGGAGATTGCCCCGTCGTGCCATTTGTGAATTGTGTCTGTTCTGTGTGAAGTGAGTACTGTGCAATCGTGGGAGACCGAGCTGAGCCAGAAAATTGCCCTCTTTATTCCTGAGTTGTAAGAAGACAGGGGTTTTATTATTAATCAGAGTTCTGCTAGATAGAAGGGGGTAAGAAGGGAGGGGGCTGGAGAAAAAAAAAAATTAAAAAGGGGGAAACCTAGGGTTGCTATTTACTGTTGTTTTATTATTAAATGTATCCTGGAAACTGTCTTTGGAAGGTCTATCTGATATTTAAAACTTCCTGGGGAAGAGGGGAAGAGCTGGGGGAATAAGGATGGGAGATTGTAGGAAATTAGATTAAATGCAACGTATTGTATGTTCACCTGCACTTCACTACTCTGCATTCCAGACCACTGCATTTAGCAATAGGTTCCACTCACCTGCACCTCCTCTGTGCAAGTTCCGCACTTCTGAGATAGAGATGGGCAGGGGGGACTATTTCACTTTTATTTGTTTAAGATTTGGAAGCACATCCATTGGTGCACTGCCTTTTTTTCGCTTGCACAGCAAAACGCTACATTCCTCAGATTTTATTTTTTTTTTTATAATTCTTTTTTCCACGACACCAGCAGGCACCAGCGTTTCTGCTCATCAAGGCTTTGGGCCAAATGAAGCACAAAACTGCAGCTGTGTGAACCAAGGCCCCCACAGTGCTGCTCTCCTGGCTGATAAATGTGTACCTCAGTGTGGTGCTGCTCGCCCAGAATAGTTTATTGAAGGAAAGATGCATTTAAATAGGGCACAGTGGTAGCATGTTAATCTGCCACAGATAATAGTTACACTGCAGTGCATTTATTTGTTGCCATCAACAACGTAGTTGCAAATTTGGAGCCACGACAGACAATATAAAAGCTGATTTTATAGTGGCTGCCATGCTCCAGCAAATTGTTTGCTACTTGTCCTACAACATGTTTTCAACAGGTGACTTTTTTTTTTTTTTAAGCCCATAAACTTTTCCCTGCTGAAAATAGCAAAGAGGAACAGGTTGGTGAGCTGCTGCTGCTCTAGCTGGATGTTTGGCAGCTAATGGGATTGCAGAAAAAACACTGGAAACAGATTTTGGTGGGATTTGGGGTTTTTTTTCCCTCTCTTTGTTGAGCTCAGCCAGTGCTGAAGGAGTGAGCACACAAACACAGCTGTGTGATGGAACTTCCATCAGGACAACTTCCAGTTTCTCCTGCTGTAATGTACTGGAGAAAACTTGTGGAGAAGTGAGCTAAGACACGAGGTGGTTTTTGGTGCTGAGGCAGCCCAGGGGACCCAGCTCCCCTTCCCTCCTGAGCTGCTCTGTGTGCTTGCCAAGGCTACCAACTTTTACATCGCTATTCACGTTCTCTGCTTCTCTTTTTCGGGTGGGAGGGGACAGTTGCCCAAGGCATGTGACAGCAATTTGAGGAGCCTTTCTCATCCTGAATATGTGTTTTGGGGAGGTGATGATGATTACTGGGCTGTGCTGCAGTTCATAACATTGTAACTGAAGGCATTCTTCCAATTTTATAGCAATGACAGTTCCTCTCCTTCTGGTTTCTTTTAAACATTTCTCCTGCTTCCAAGAACTGCTCCACACAGGAGGCTACCATGGACCTGAATAATTAAAGCAATATTATCTACGATAATATGTACCTCTGTAATTTTCTGTTCCAGTGGATTTTTTGTTTTGTTTTGTGGTTTTTTTGCAATAAACAGCACAACGACTAGCAATAACATTTCCTGGATTGCTTGAAAAAAAATTTGAAAAAATTAAAAGCTGGTGCAGTAAACTGAGCAGTTGGCTACTTCAGACTGTTCCTGGTTACAGAGTTCAAACAAAGTGTTTGTCATCTGTTTCTCACTCAGAGGATTAAGAAAGATAACACCACCCTGTGAGGCACTGGTGGGCCAGGACACTGCAGTCGGCTCTGTCATGCCTGCAGCTCTTCCAGTCTGAGGTTTCAGGGAGAAAAAGGGAAAAAGAAAACCTGCTGTCCCTCACCCGGGGTCTGCACATCCCCTGACAAGACTCGACTGTGAGATGATTTTACAGAGCTCTACTTGCTGTGGTGCTCCCACACAGTGTCATGATCATCTGCCAAACGAGGTGAAATGGAGTAATTAAGGATTATGTTGAAATAGTTTGGCTCCTGCTCTGTATCTGGAGGAAGAGCTTGTCTGGTCATACGTATGTGTTTGGATTTTAAAGATTGTGTAATAAAGGAAAAATTGATCCAATTAAAAGTGCATTGCAAACAGCTCATTTTCTTATTAAAACACTTCATCTTCTCCCCTCAGTGGCAGATTGGATTTTACAGCCAGTGGGGATTAGATTGGGAGCACAGTGGCTCTGAGACCCTTTTTATGTGTCAGGTTGCCAAGGATAAATCTGATCCTGGCAGGCTCGTGGAACTTCTCCTGACACTTCCCTACCCACCTTATAAACAAATGCTGTGGTTTTGTACCTTAACTCACACTGCCTCAAGGGCAATATCTCCCTTGTCAGCTGATGTTTCAGAAGTCTGATTTCAGTTCCCTGGCTCCAGGAGCTCAGCAGTAAAACTGATGGCTGAAAACTCCATCCCCTGTGTCCCTGGCTGATCCGCAGTCTGCCGGTGGGGACCTGTGGTGCAGCCAGGTGATTTGGCACATCAGGAGCCATGGGCTCAGCTAGAAAACCTCAGACTTTGGGGCACTCACGCTGTCAGGGTATAAAACACCTGGGTTTCCTCTGTTTGTAGTCCCCCTCCTTGGAGGCACCAGCTCAGGCTGTTCTTCTGCTGTTGCACCATGACTGAATTATTTCTGGATCAAAACTCTGCCATGGGAGCTGAGCTGGTGAGGAAACCTGGTGTGACTGAGTGTGGGGGTTGTAGCTGTGAAGGTGCCTCGACCCCAGCTCGGCTGGTGCCAGAGGAGCTCCTGGATGGTCAGCAGGGACATTTCAGGGACATTTCAGGGACATTTCCTCAGCAGGTACATCCACAGCACGTGCAGGTCCTCCCCTCCCCTCCCTCTGCAGCCACCTGGCTGATCTGGCTGAAGGATTTCATCACTTGGGCTCATCTCAGCTCTTTAAACAGGTCTGAATTTCTGGTTTATCAAACATTATTCAACCCTTTGCAGAACAGCTGCCGTGTGGAGCTGTTAGACCTACCCAGGAGCTTTATCACAGGTTTGGATTTCTTAGGGCAGAACAGCTGAGCCATGGACATTGTTCTAGGCAAAACCAGGGAATGAAGGGATGAGGAGGAGAGCCTGTTCCTCATCAAAGGGGGTAGAGCTACAAAAGTAAAAATAAAGCCAAATGCTTTGAGTTGTTCCTATTGTATAGCTTAAGTGATTTTTCTGGGTCATTACTCAATGTGAGGATTTAAAGTTATTTCATTTTGCACAACTAATTACTCAGCTTGCCTGGCAATTCTGGATTACAATGAGAAGGGCATAAGGTCATTTAGCAGACTTACTCACAGCACATGTTTTTGTCTAAACTAAATTTCATGACAACCAGCTAGATTGCTTTTACCTCCTCCAAACAAAATGTTGAAATCTGAGGGTTTGAAATAATGACATAAACCAAGCAATTAAGGGTGTTAAAAAGGTAATAGAGTGGTTGTACATAGGGACAAATCTCAAAACCAGGGAAATTCTATGTATTCTACTTCTGACCAAGCACATATAAGGGAAACCCATTATGTCCTTTAACAGCTAAAAAAGTAGCTTTACAGCTTTCTTAATGCATCTGTGAAAGGAAAACTAAAGGTTCCTGCAGACTAGTTCAATCTTAATTGTGTTAATGGCAGTGTCAGACCTGAAGGGAGACAAATGGAGCCTTGAAAGGACAGGAGGGAACCACAGGCCTCACGCAGAAGAATATGGACTGCTATTTTAGTAGAGCCACAGGCTCTATCCTTAATTTTGTGAAGGATATTTGTGAAGATCTCCTGTCAAAACTGCTGAGCTCACAGGAAAGCATGGAAGCTCTCACCTCTTACAGGTAAATGTGAGTGGAGTGTGGTCTGAGAGAAGACAAGCACGCAGTGGGCAGGGCAAGGAGCAGAAAGGCTTAGGGAATGTGAGGACCTGCCAGAACACAGCCCCTCCACAGACTATTCCCAAAAATGATCGATTGCTCAGAGGGAACATGAACATCTTTCCCATCTGCAGCAGCCACAGGCTGAGCTTGCTGAGCACTCAGTAGGGCCAGGGAACCTCAGCCAAGGAAACTATCTAAAGATCATAGGAAATTCAAGAAAAACAAACATTTCTCCCACTGCAGACCTGAAGTAACCTCCCAGCTGGGCAGCAAAACCCTCTGGATCTCCCCCACCCAGGCACACACATCCTGAGCCCATCAGCATCCCTTCCTGCTTCCCAGCTGGGCTTCTCCAGTGGGAATAACCAAACTGGGACAGCTCTTGCAGAAATCTCACCAGGGCTGTGAGATTTTGCTCTCAGGGCAGCTCTTCCCTTCCCTAAGCAAGCTCTCCTCCTCCTCCTCAGCAGCCAGAACGAGGAACCACAGAGCAGCCAGCTCTGATGAGCTTCTATCAGTGAATGAAATGGTTCCCAGCAGGGGGATTTGCTGAATGGAGGGATGTACAGTTTCTGAGTCTCTGAGGTGGGGTGACTCCAGCCTCCACCTCCAGGTTTATTATTATGGAATAGCCCAGCTTGGGTCAGCTGTCCTGGCTGTGTCCTCTCCCACCACCTCATCCACCCCAACCTCGTGACTGTGGGGACAGAATGGAGAAAAAGCAGAAGTGTGGGTGCCATGGAGGCCCTGCTCAGCAGCAGCCAGCACTCCAGGGTGTTCTCCACACTGGTTTCTCCAGAAATCCACAGCACCACTGTGACAAAGCCGGTTCCCTCCGTCCCACCAGGCCCAGCACATTCTTACACACAGCAGGAGCTGTCTGGAGACATCATGTTTGTCCCAGCTGCCAAATGAAGGTCCTCACACAACTGCTACCAACTTAATGAGGCACCATCAGCGTTAAGTGCTGGCTCCATGGGGAGGAAAACCGATGCAGGCTCCCATGGCACAGATCAATGGCTGGGTCGATCTCAAGGTCCCTGCTTGGAGGCCACTCAATGTGCTAAAGCATTGCTTGGCTGCACAGAGCCAGAGCAAGCAGCACAAAATATGGGCTTTTAATCACTCTGCATGAAGTAAAATTGGAGTTTGCTTTGGTGTGCTCACGGAGTGAGGCTGTGAGGGAGCCTGGGGGATGCTCCCACGCCTGCCCTGAAGGAGAGCAGGAGAGCATGGAGAAACCACTGGGAATTCATTGGGAACTCATTGGGAATTAACATTGGGAATTTGTGGGATAAACATCAGGAATTTATGGGAAAAATATTGGAAAAACATGGAATAAAAACATGGAAAAGACATGGAAAAACAGGGAAAAAACATTGGGAATTCATGGAAAAAACATGGGAAAAACATGGAATAAATATTGGGAATTTATAGAAAAAAACCCTGGCAATTTATGGGAAATAATTGGGATTTTTTTTGGAATTTCTGGGGAATCTCTGGGATGAACCCTGGGAATTCAGTGGAAATTTGTGGCTGGGTGTCCCACAGCTGTGCCACCATGCCTCTCTGGCTCTCCACTGCACGATTTACTCCTGCAATGCCTTAGGAACAAGGGCAGGCTGTTCTGCCACCTCATTCCCCCACACACTCCTCATCCACCTGCAGGAGGAGAGAACACTTGTCACTGCTCCAGGCAGAGCAGGCTGCCTGCTCTGTGCTGTCCCCGGCCAGAGGCGGATCCCTGTCCCTGTCCTTGGCAGGAGGGACAGCTCTGCAGATCCTGACCCACGTCACCGCACCGGGGCAGCTCCAGAACAGCACCGAGCCAACGCCTGCCCTGGCACCAGCAGCGTGAGCTTCTCTTCTAAACCATGTTTTCAATTAGGGCTCGACGTGCAGATTGTGCCTTTATTGTTGGAGCCCTCCTCCTGAGGCCTGGCGATTGATTTATGAAGTTGATTAAAATATTAAAATAATTTTGTGCGGTGCTGCAAACACCCCATAATGTGCATTTTTCTCAGAGCTGGTGCCGTTCCAATTAGCTTGAGACTCTTCTCTCTCCCTCTTCTTGTGACCAGTTTTGTCCACTAACAAATTACAGTTATTCTGGCCCTACTTTTATATTTATTAGAGCTGATGCATATGTGTGCTCACTGAGCAGCTCAGAACGGGCTGGTGAGCAGCAGGGAGCCCGGCAGGCCAGAGATGTTCTGAGTGGAGAAGGCATCCAGAACTGTCTAGCTGGAGCTATTTATTCCTATCTGCCTTATGTCGCTGGCAAAATGAGGGTAAATCAGTAGAGAAGTTGGGAATAAAATCCATCTACCATGAACAGCAAGCTCTTTCTCTTGGCTAACTGGGGTTTCCCTGGGACAGAGCCCTGGGTTTCCCACGACACTTTCTCTGTCCACAAGCTGATCTCCCCGAGTCCTGAACATCCTTAATGTCCTTCCAAGAGCATTTTCTGGCCATCAAAGAGCTGAATACAACACTGGCCACCTCTGCATTGCCCACAGCCCCAAAGTTCAAACTCACTGACCCCATCAGCTACCAAAGGCACAGATGAAGCCATGCACAAAACACAAGGTTGGGGCCAGCCTGGTGCCCAAGTGCTGCACAATCAGGAGTGAAGTTTATGTCCAGGCATTACATGCAGCCTCTCAGGGGGTCCCTGGAGTACCACGAGTGCTCTGATGCTCCACAGGCACTGGGAAAGGATGCTCTGGATGCCCCACAAATGCCAGGGCAGCCAGGCACAGCTCCAGGAGTGGGGGCAGGACCCAGGTCAGGAGTGAGGATCCACCTCGGCCAGCTGCATACCATGGACTAAAAAGGAAATTATTCTGTCACTGAGGCATTGCTTTGCCTTTAGGCCCCGTGCCACCGCAGAGCTTTGTGGCTGAGCTCTGAGCCACTGCTGGCCCTGACATGGGGAGCTGGGAGTGAAGGAATGGGAGATGTTTCACCACCAGATCAAGCACTGTTCACGTCCCCTCTGGCCCCAGCATCGTGGAACAGCAGCAATGCCTGTGCCAGGCCTGGACTGCAGCAGCTGCCTCTCATTCCCACCTCTCATTCTCCTGAGAAACCCTTGTCTGGCTTTGGCTTGGTCCCAGGTGATGGCACTGGGACCATGGGGTCTGCTCCCCAACAACACATTTGCCCCTGGATTGCAAGGAGTGCTCCCGAGTGATTAATAACATCATGAGTACATAAACAACCCACCTCCACATGCCTTCTCCTGCTGAACAGGGGCATTGCTATGGCAAACTTCATTTATCACTATTTAAAACCCAAACAAACGAGCACAGGGTGTTATAAATACGCTTACAAGACCAGCTACACTGGGGAAACGGAGAAGAAAATGAGCCAAGAGCAAGGGAGGCGGTGTGTGGGAGAACACTTCTCTCTGCCCAGTTCCAGGGAGCGAGGCTGCTGCTGGCAGTGCCACCAGAGCAGGATGCAAGTGCCCTGATGACCTCTGTCACCATCAGACCTAAGGTGGGCTCTGTGACACACCACAGGTATTTTTTTTAATAGAAAAATATCAGATCCAGGGCATATCCCCAACTCCCTGGAGGAGAGAGATGAATTGGCAAATGGAAGGCTACAGCGATAAGGGAGTTTTTATAAACATAACCTAATTGTATTACTTCAAAGTCCTGAAGTTTATTGCCCTGTTTAATGATGTGTCTCGTTATTTATGGTCTAACACAACGAGTCTGCTATTGATTTAATGCACTTCCTAAAAGACTGTCATTGTCACAAGCAATAAAACAAAGCCATTCTGAGACAGCTCATTTATGTCACATCTCCATCAGCTGACCCTGGGCACCAGAGGGGCACTGTGGGGAAGGGGGTCACCTTGGGTGTGTGGGAGCTGAAGGGCAGGAGCAGGCAGGGTGGCTCAGGGATGCTGCAAATGACACGTGCCACCTGCCACTGGGCACTCAGTTTGGGACAAGCCTCCTGCCTGAGCCTGCCAGCATGGTGATGGTGTATGCACAGGAAAGGGGGTGATGGGTGGAAACCAGCACATGACACCTGATCTTTGTGCCCCTGCCCGTCCCCATCACCCTCCTCACCTTTCTGGTACTGGAGCCAGAGCTGCTGCTGGACCTTCTTGCTGGGGAAGTGGATGGTGCAGCTGAACTCGGAGCCGTAGAGCGCCTCCGCGATGTAGTGGGAGCCAAACTGCTGGATGAAGGAGAGCAGCTCCTCCCGGCTGCTGTCCTTGTTCAGGATCTTCAGGATGTTTGCAAAGCCTGTGGGAGGGAGGCAGGGGGTGCACAGGTCAGCCAGGCAGGGCTGGCAGCCACAACCCAGGGGAAGGAGCCCCAGAGGTTCCCTGCTCAGGTATACAAGGCCCCACATGGGTGCAGTTCCTGATCCTTTGGAATCCACAATCTGTTATTACCCTGGGCTGTGGCTCTGACTTCCTTCTATGATTCCTCTCCCAAAGAGATTTCTCAGATAATTTTACAGCAGTGTGCATGTGAACACCACCATGGGGTGGTGGAAGGGCTGGAAACCCCAGTGGTGATGCTGTGAGGTGCCAGGACTGCTGGCAGGACCAGCATTGGGAGGGCTGTGACTGCCAGGAGCTCACAGGGATGGACTCGCACATCCCTCAGATTATTTCTGCCCCAGGCACATGTGAACACATGCACACACACACACACACACACACACACACACACACAAACCCTCCATCCTTGCCAGCTCATCTGCTCTTCAGCCTGCTGGCACATCATGAACACTCCCCAGAAGATGTGCTTGGCCTTTGTTAGGCTGCATCCATAACCAGAGACATTCCATCCCCAGTGCAAACACCCAGCACAACTGGTAACTATTTTTAGGGAAGTTGGAGACAGCCCAGAGGGACGTGCAGGGCTGGGCTGGTGGCAGCTCCGTGGATGTGCAAAGGTCAAGGCATCACTTGAGCAACACCCACACAGACAGCAGGGACCTCTGGCAGGGGACAAGGACGTGGACCTTGCTGCTCTGTGGAGGTGAAATATCCTGGAGACACTGGTGACTTCACAGCATTTCAGCATCACTTAGAGCTGGCTGAAAGCACAGCTTTGGTTCAGTGGTGGAACGGAAAACATACTGCAAGAAAATACGTCATAACTGTCACCAAAATGGGATTATCTGGCTGCTTGGTTGGTTTATTGAAAGAGAAGGCTGTTTTAATAAAAAAAGCCAGAAGAATTCATTTTGAGCTGAACCCACATATTTTTTTTTTTCAGCTCTGAGCAGGTTATTTCATTTCGGGGCTGTGCAGCCTGTTAGCACTAAGTCTTTTTTTTTTTTTTCTTTCTTTCTTTCTCCATTTAAAAACGCGCTGATTTTTAAATAAAAAGTGCTATTTTGAAACGAAAAGGCAAAACATTTCAGGTCGCAACAAAATGTTTCAGCGTTTCTGAAACAAAATGTGTAGCTGTAAAAACGTGGCAGTGAAATGTTTTGACATTTGCAGGATCCTCCCACCCACCCCTTCTTCATCTGTGACTCCCTGCTTGGTATGACCTGCTTTTCCAAGTGGTTTAGTTCCTTTTGAAACCACCTTTTTTAAGGGACTGACTGTTTTTTTATATACACAGCCACCCCAAAACAAATTCTGCTCATTGTTTACTGACTTCCTCCTGGCTTTGACCTCACCTCTTGCTGCACAAACTCCCTGCCTCAGTTTTCCCCCTGTAAAAAAGGAGGTGAATCTCCCTGCCTGCCTGGAGCAGAGCATGGAGGTGGGAAATGTCAGTGGGATGCTTGGGGCAGAAAACCACCACCCACCCATGCAGACACACATCTCCCTGCCCCTGGAATCCCTCACCTGCAGAGAGTGTGATGGAGCTGAGCTTCACCCTGTAGAGGTTGCTCCTGACCCGCCAGTGCTGCACCATGGGGTACCCCATGGCCTCGTCGTACTTGATGTCCCCTGCCAAGACAAAGCAGGTGGGTGACACTGCTGACCATGCTCTGGGGAATGCTCACTGCTCCCTCCGCCTTGCTGCGTGCTGCAGGGGTGAGAAATGGGGTGGTGGAAGGGCTGGAAGCCCCAGTGATGATGTGTGAGGTGCCAGGACTGCTGGCAGGACCAGCACTGGGATGGCTGTGACTGCCAGGAGCTCACAGGGATGGACTCGCACATCCCTCAGATTATTTCTGCCCCAGGCACATGGGAAAGGTGACGATGCCCCTCAGGAACCACATTGGGATCTGGGGTGGGAGAAGGGACACTGAGCCCGGGGGCAGCTCGTACCTGTGAGGAGCTGGAGATCAGGAAGGGGCTCCGAGAGGACCCCACGGCACTGCTCCTCCACGGGCAGAGGGATCACCAGGAGGCCGTCAGCCAGCTGGGGGAAGTCCTTGATGAAGTTGTTCTCCCTGCGGAGAGAAAAAGACAACTGCAAAGCAAGGATGCAGGGCATGGCCGGGCAGCGGGACAGGGGCTCAGGAGGGTGGGGGACATCTCCAGGGGATGGGGTTTGCAGCCTCCCCACCAGCCAGCCTGGCTGTGCAGCCCTCTGAGATGATGCTTAATGAGCTCCCCAGGGACTGCAGCTCCATTAGTGCTCCAGAAATATGGAACTGCTCTCAGCCTGGGGACCCGGACACTGGGTTTGGCCCAGATTTTCAACGTGGGCCCCTGGAGAGGGGACAAGGAAAGAGGAATGGCTGCTACACCCCCAAACTGCCCCTTTCCACAGCTGCAGCATCTTCATGTGGACAGTGACCAAGATCTGCTGCAGCTCCCCAGGCAGCATCATGACCTCTACATTTCCCCCCACCCCCCAGCGACTCGCTCTCCAAAAGGCAGAAGAAGTATAATTTACAGACAGACACAAAAAAACCCACTCTGGTGTACAGCTCACAGTACGATTTTACCACATATGCAGGCTCTTTTCTAACCTTGGCAGGTATAACATAGTATAATAGGCCCCTAATGAATTGTTTCTAGAACAACGGTGCCAGGGAAATGATTTGAAATGGTGAACAGACAGGTCTCTGGGAGACCAGCCTCCCCCAGCAAGCCAAATGCCTCGCGCCTGCGCCGGGGAAACAGGAGGGGGGATTTTAAATATTGATCTTAGAGCCAAAATATAGGCCAGGAGGCTTTGCATCCTCCGGGTGTGGAGACAAAAGGGCAGCAGAGCAGAAGAAAGGGAGGTTCCTGCAAAATCAGGTCAGCCCCAGGAGCTTGGGGGAGGTTCAGACTGGCACAGCCTGCCCCAGCTGCATTTTTTGTAATATATTTTCCTTTAAACAGCTGCTGATTTCACTCACCTCCCCTGGTTTTACCCCCTGTAGCCTGTGCCAGGGGGATGATCCATCATCCTGTGGTCATCTCACAGCTGGGGACACCCTGGTCACCCCCACAGCTCCCAGCATGGCGAGATGCTGATTTCATGGAACACTTCCCTGGCATCCTCCCGTTGCTCTGGGGCCAAGATGTGGCCACTGCAACCTGCACCAGAGGTGAGCAGGAAGCCCTGTGCAGCCAGCCTGGGGATGCTCCCAGCCCCAAGGCAGGACAGGAGCAGAGGGAGGAGCATTTGAAGGTAGGGACACATGAGTGGGGCACGAGAAGTGTTCAAAGCCAGACTGGATGGGTCTTTAAGCAACTGTAAAGTGTCCCTGCCCATGGCAGGAAGGTTGAAACAAGATGATCTTTAAGGTCCCTTCCAACCCAAACCATTCCATGATTCTCTGGCTGCACAGGCTCATGCTACACCCCCATTTCAGGGCCACCAGCACCTGCCTGCATCTCAGGAGCCTCACTTTCTGCACTGCCTCGGTGCAAAATAGAAAAAAGTGCTTTATTTTTCTGAGGGGGAAAGTTTCTCACTCACAGCATGCTCACAAATCTCAGATTGATCCCGCTGGGCACGGGATCCCCACGGTGGAATGTTCTGCTGCTCTGAGCCCTTTGCTGTCACAGCAATTCCAAATGGGGAACTGCAATTACTGCCGGAGCTGGGAGCCATGTGGGTGGTGGGAAACAGGGCTGCAAAATAAAGCAGGTTGGTAGGGAACAGGGGAAGAAGCATGCTGGTGTCTCTGCTGCTCTGCCTCTGCAGAAAAAGGAAAACATCAGCGCTGCCAAATCCCAAAGCTGTGGAGAAGCGTGATGGAAAAGCAGGATGCTGCTGCCTGCCATCCTGGAGCGTGGGACTGTCCCTGTCCTGACAGGTCAGCTCCCCATCCTGCACCAGGGATGCACCAGGAGGGTCCCTGCCTGCCCAGCCCCACATCCCACCCCTGAGAAGATCAGGATTCCTAGGAGGAGGCTGGTTCAACCTTCCCAAGTGCTGCCCCACGTGAGGGATGGACCTGGCATGCCCCAAGGGACACAAAGAGATGGCCTGGCAGTGCCAGAAGTTCATGTTCATCCTGCACCCTCCACCCTGACACTGGGCAGAGGAGACACAGAGGCAGCATCTCCTCCTGCTCCCACCTGAGCCATCTCAGCAACACCCACCCATGCCACGAGCCTGGGGAAGAGCTGTCCCTGGGCACATCCCAGCTCAGCCAGGAGACAGGACAGCCCCGGGGCTGGTGGCCCATGCCTGGGCAGCTCAGGAGGGGGAAGCTGAGGGATGAGGGGGCCCACAGAGAGCAGCTGCTGCTCTGAGCTGCTGCCTCTGTGAGAAGGCATTTACTGAACAGCCTGCAGGACCACTCTTGTTCTCCCTTTGTTCAACTGCTCCACACTCGAAAGGCCAAGGAGAAAACAGGGGCAAGTGGGAGCCAAGGTGTGCACATGCCCACAATGTGCTTCCATCACGGGAGGGACAGCAGTGCAAGGCAGCTCTTCAGAAGCACTTCCATGATACATTCCTGCTACCAAACCCTTCCTGCATCTCTGCCAGCTCTCCCCACCTCCAGGCCCCTGCTCCCTGCCATCCCAGGGCAGGGATGAGCCAGAGCTGTGCAGGGGGAGCAGCGCTGGGCAGAGGGGCTGAGCACAGCGCTGTCGCTCTGCAGAGCCCTCCCTGCCTGCAGGGGCAGGGTGGTGATGGGCACACGGCTGCTGGGTGTGCCCAGGGCACAGCAGTCCATGGATTGGCAGCTGGCAGAGGGCTGCAGCTCCTCTTCCACGGGGCCTTCCTAATAACCCTGTGGCTTGCACGCTGCTCGCTGTGCAGGCACAAAAGGGCTCCTGCCAGACTCTTTTTGCTCTCTGGAAGCTGTGATCAAAGCCAGAGGGCTCTGTGCAAGGGGCAGGGACAGGGATGAGGGGAGGGATGTGACAGCAGCCCTGTGCATGTGCTGCCACATGTGCCTCCAGGCACCTCTGCAGGGGTGCAGGGCCAGATGTGGGGGTCACAGGGCTATTCCAGCGGGACCAGGCAAGATGCAGACAAACCTGCCAGCCCTGCAGCATCCTCCTGCGTCTCTTGTTCTGCTCCTGGCATCTTCCCAGTGGAACAGCTGCCCAGGACTCACTGGAGCAGTGAGCATGCAGCTCTCTCCAGCGTGATGCACATGGACTCCACTCCCCAGCACAGCGCTCTCCTGCTGGGGATCTGAGCACCTCCCAAGGCATTTTGCAGCTACTGAGTCATTACACGAGGAAATGCAGCTTCTCTGAGCAGGATCTGACCCAGAGCACCTGCCTGCCTTGGAGGGAACTGATTCCATATAAACGAGCCTGATGCTGGGAAAGGTCAGATGGCCAAAGGCTTTAGCGAGCGAGGATAGTGGCAGGGTGGGCTGGGGAGGAAGGCAGCCACCTGGATTAAACTGAGTTCAAAATCCTGGCTTTGATGGACACTTGGTATCCTCAGCTGAGTCCTACAGCAGAAGCTGAGAGCATCTCCCACATCTCGGGGTGCTGGTGGGGTGACAGCAATTAGCACTGCTCAGCTACCAGGAGCAGGGCTCAGGCAGCAAGAGCCTGCTATGCCACTGTTTTTGAGTCCTCCTGAAACCAGATGCACAAACCAGCTGTGTTTTTGGGGACTGTGACCTTTAACAGCACAGCCAAGGTGATGCAGCAGAGCCGTGCTGCAGCGCTGGGCTGCATCGCTGCACTCCGCAGTGCTAGCAGCAGCTCACACAGCCCCTGAGAAGCCTCCAGAAAGGACAATATCCCAGGGCAAAACGGGGTTTGGGGGGAGCAGGAGAGCTCAGTGCAGGCCTGGGGAGGAGCTGGAGTGCTGTGGTCTTCCAGGACTGGGCCATGGCTGCTGGATTATTCTCCGGGGCACAGCTCTGCCGGCCCTGGGGCACGCTGTCTCACTGCTGAGATGCTCAAAGCCAGAACCAAGCTGGCAGTGGGATTTTGGCCTGCAGCAGGGAAAGATCAGCTGGTGGCTGACATGTATTTCATTTTCCTGTTAGCAACACCGCTGGGTGAAGGAGCAGCTTCTCCTCTTTTTAGCTCAGTCAGCTGTGGCTCCCTCCCTTGGCACTCTGCTCCCACAGGACATGGCCTTGAGGATGCACTCTGCAAACCAAGCCTTCCTTGCAGCTGTAAAACAAAACTCCCACTGCACATTCCAAGCACCAGCTGGCGTGGGGCTCCCTGCCTCCACCCAGCACTGACAGCGGATGCTGCACCACAGCACCTGGGCAAGTACATTCATGAAGGGGTAAATATATAAATATTATATATAAAGTGACCCCACAAGTGATTAGCTTATGCCCTGAAGCGTGAGATTTAATTACCCTTATCTGAGCCAGCACAGTTACAAATGTTAATCACATTATCATCCAGCAAGCTTATGTTCAGCAAAGTGACCATTCCTTTCTGCTATGCAAGCCTGAGAGGACGCCTGCTCTGGCAAAGAATTAGTTATTAATCTTACTTTTTTCTGTCCCACAATGGCTCAGGGAGAACACGATGGATCTGAGGTTATTTAGTGCCAGCTTTTCACCCAAATTTCCCTTGGAGAAGCTGCCTGCTGGGGTGGCTGCAAGATCAGCAGAGCCCAGCCTGACACAGGGACATTGAGAAATAGCTTCCCTTTAGCTTGTCATCACCAAAAAAAATTGATCTGGAGTCACTGGGAAACAGAAAAGAAGGTGTCCTGTTGCCACAGCCACTTAGGAGAAGGTAAGCACACTGTAAATCTCGCCCAGCATGTCTCCATGACCTCAGGCACTGGTGAATTATACAGGTTTAATGCAAACCCTGTGAAGCAGCAGTTACTTACTCCAAATTTACTGAGCATTAATTTCATCGAGGCCCCACTCTTGTAGGACAAGGTGGGATAACAGAGGAGTGACCAGCTGGATTTTGCCAGGTTCAGGAGCCCCTTCAATTCCCCAACTCTCAGCCTTAACCAGGGCTTGCAATGAAGTGTGGTTGGAGCAGGCTGCAGGGAAAAAGGGGAGCACCAAAATCATCCCTCCAGCAGCCCCTGATGCTGTGGACAGGA